CACCTCGTGATCACACAGGCTCATATGTTGTTCCATGTGGGCTTTGTTGCTTCTGAGCTAGATGGCCGCTTGTTTACTTTCAAGCTTTTAAGACCCCAGATGCTATATCTTTTGATAGCCGGGCACTATCAGCTTTCTCTACCACATTTGCTCTTTCACCCGCTTTGTCTTCAGCGGTTGTGTCGGGAAGGTGAGCATCATAGAATGCCAATTTAATAGAAGAAAGTATTCTTGCAGGTTCAATAACAATTTCATAACAAAGGACTCTGTAAAAGAACTTCTACTGAACATTTTATTCAGAAAAATACAATAGGGTAAGATGGAAACAAAAATACTTGTCACTTGCAGTATCGATCAGCTTTCAGTTTGGCTCTCCTATGTGAAGAATAAAAAAAATTAATCTATGCAAAACATGTAATACGCAATTAATATTTATCACAGACAGAAAACAGCTACAACTATAAAATTCATGCTTCAAAATATCATTCTCAATTTTGGTTTTATTATCTCAAGATATACAAGCATTTTTATTTAAATTTCATTCTTTTAATTTTATGTTTCACAGAAAATGGATTTTGTTCTTGTGAAAGTCTTGCCCTAGTCTCTAAAGAACACTGTGTAATGAACTGTCAATGAACAATAGCAATTCTAATTGTCTCCTCTGAATTTAAGCACATCCTGAAGTTCTATCAGGATGGCAACACTGTATTTTCACAGGTCCAGGACAAAGAGCTTATTCTACTTCTTGTGGGTCCACACCCTAATTGATTTTCTATAGCTCATTCCTGATTTCCCGTGCTGTACATGCTAATTTTCTCAGATGGAAACAATTCTTATGTCATTTATTTACTTCAGGCAAAAATCCTTATCAACCACTCAATAGGAAATATATGATTATGCATTGCCTTTATCAAAGAGCGTAAAGAAAGAAATTGGACATACTCTTGCAGAAAGGCTGCGGGGAGTAGACAAGCCAGTTGGTACAGTGTAGCACTGATGAAATATACAAGTTTTCTCTAGTTCTTGAATGCTTCCTCCCCCCACTATCCAGATCCCAGTTCTACCTTACAAATCCGGCTGGACCGGAGGACGTACATTGGTACAGATAGTAAGTGGAAATATAGGGAATCCAGGACAGATGAACCCCCTCAGGACCAGTGGTGAGAGTGGCAATACTGGGAGGGTGGAGGGAAGGTGAGGGAGAAAGGCAGAACGGATTACAGGGTCTACATATAATCTCCTCCCTGGGGGACAGACAGCGGAGAAGTGGGTGAAGGGAGACGTTGGACGGTGTAAGATATGACAAAATAATAATTTATAAATTATCAAGGGTTCATGGGGGAGGGGGGAGCAGGGAGGGAGGGGAAAAGCTGATACCAAGGGCTCAAGTAGAAAGCAAATGTTTTGAGAATGATGATGGCAGCATATGTACAAATGTACTTGACACAATTGATGTATGTATGGATTGTGATAACAGTTGTATGAGCACCTAATAAAATGATTAAAAAAAGATTCTAAGAGTAATTTGGCAATGTATCACTTGAATGAGTAAATGATCACCAAATTCTCTCCGTCTGGCATTTACTTCATTCAGAGGTATAGGCTTGCAACTAAACTGCTACCTAACTGATCTCCACAGGAACAGTAATAAATAAATAGTAATATAGGTAGTCCCACTTTTCCAAAGTTCACTTTACAGCGTTTTACTCTTACCTGCATTAGTTCTTATTTTTCGTAACTGACACAAATGTGAAGAGGACTTTCACTTTTTTGGAGAAAAAGTCAATAGCAAAACTAGCCCTCATCATGTTTTGCAGCAGGGTGCATCCAAAGCAGTGACCGCGCTGTTGCCAAGCTCCTTCCCAGGATCTGCACTCTGCACCTCAGCACCCAGCAGGGCTTTGAACTCTTTCTGTGAGCACTTTATTTTAGGGTTTATGTATTATTTCACAGGTTCTTTTTTGTTGTTCTGGGAACATTCAAAAACATGCTCCCATATGAATCAGAGGTAACTTTCCCCCCAGGTGTTTATGACAAGTTTCACAGCAGCCTCTGCTTCCTGAGAGCGCATGAAGCCTGTTCTGCAGTAAATGTCCCGCACCTTTCTGAAGTCAACTTCGTAGCACTGCTTTGAATTTCACTGAATTTTTATACTCACTACTTTTAAAAGCTGGCCGATTTTTAATCTTATTATTTGAAACCTTTTATTTTTTTAACATTTTACTAGGGGCTCATACAACTGTTATCCCAATCCATATACACATCAATTGTGTACAGCGTATTTGTACATCGTTTCTCAAAACATTTTCTCTCCATTTAAACCCCCGACATTAGGTCCTCATTTTTCCCCTCCCTCCCCGCTCCCCCCTCCCGCATGAGCCCTTGATAGTTTATAAATGGGTATTTTGTCATATCTTGCCCTGTCCGACGTCTCCCTTCATCCACTTTTCGGTTGTCTGTCCCCCAGGGAGGAGGTCACACACAGTTCCATGTAATCAGTTCCCTAGAAACCTTTACTACCCCTAAGAATCCAGAGAATTTTGACTGGTTAAACTACTTCTGCCTATGCTTGGTTCTAATAGTTACAAAAATATGATAGTAAACACATCAACAACAAAGTTTCAATAAAACCTGAATCTCTTACAATAAAATATACAAAGGATTTGGCGGGAACTTCAAGATACTCTTCCTTGACCTTGCCCTCCCTGCCACGCTGACCCACTCACCATGGACTTCTAGGTACCAGCACCAGGGTCTCAGTTCAGAGACAGGTTTGAAAACTGAAGAACTGAAAACAGAATACTGGCTTTATGCACATCACTCTATTGCTATTTAAAATCATTGGAACTGATAAAAATATACTGACCTGTCCAGAAGAGTCTCATGCAAAAACCCATCTTTCCGAGCCTTTTTAAGGATTTTATTGTCTTCTTTACTTATTTTAAGTTTGTGGTCTTGGAAACTCTGGAATTTCTTTCTGTTAAGAGAGTATGTTCGAAAAAATATCTCATAGTTTGTTTATCCATGTTTACTGAAGAACACACTAATCCTGTTAGAGTGTAGTCTTATTTCTTTAATAACCTACAGCTTTTTAGCTACACAGATGATCTCACTGGCCCACCCCGAGTAGGAAATGCTGGCTTGAGTTCCCTAGGCCCTGCGACAGCTTTGTTTGGCAGAATCATCAGGTACATTAATGAGCAGGGAGAACTGATGACAACCTTAGTTGACTTTGGCTTTGCAAGCAGGCAGCTTACCCAGGACCCTGATGCCGGAGGAAAGGAAAGCACGGGCTCAGGGCTTACACCGTGCAGCGTTTCTAGCGCCTGAGAAGTGCCTCTCTTCACACATCAGAGGCCTCAAAGGAGAAGCATACGTACACGTAATTGACTTCACACTGTTTAATATTCCCTTTGTCTTCTTCTGGAATGTCATCTGTTTTCTTGGTTTCTCTTTCAGCACAGGATCGGATCTGGATGTTGGGGATCAGAATACAATAGGCTGGTTATGCATTTCCATTTTACTCATCACACCTACTCTAGGTAATTTCTCACACAAGAGGGACAAACACAATTAGCAATGATACAGAAAAAGGGCAGGTTATGGATGTGTTTTTTATTTCACTTTGCATAAATAATTGCTATTATGTTTTTCTAGTGCCCTTGTGTCAGACACACAAGAGAACAAAGAATCTGAAAAACATTTACAGATCAGATTCTGCTGCACAATTAGACAATTCAACAAATACATTTCAGCCTCAGAAAAAATATGCATATGTATTTTTAGCATCTCCATACATGTTAATATTTTAACAAATAAATTTTGGTCTCAAAGTAAATATGCATACATTTTTAAACTTTTTATAATACCCCCCCCCCCATCCCAGGGGGATGAATAATAAAAATGTGGGTGAAGGAAGACAATGGATGGTGTAAGATATGAAATAACAATAATAATATATAGTTAATCAAGGATTTACAAGGGTAGGAAGGAGGGGGAGGGAGGGGAAAAATGAGGAAACATTTAGGAAGGAAAGCTATGGATAGAGGCATAAACATAAGGGTGCACTTATGTACATATATTAATTCATAAATATAGAGGTATTGACCCATGTACATATATTTATATGGCAATACATTGATGAAGTGGACAGACTTTGGGCCTCTGCTCAAACCCTCCTTCAACACAAGAACACTTTGTTCTAACAACCTCACATTCTGCGATGCTCACCGCCCTAGCACGATTGCTGAAGACAAAATGGGTACACAAGCAAATGTGGCAAAGAAAGCTGATGGCACCGACTATCAAAAGATATAGCATCTGGGGTCTTAAAGGCTTGAAGTTAAACAAGAGGCCATCTAGCAGAGAAGCAACAAGCCCACATGGAAAAGCATACCACCCTGTGCGATCATGAGCTGTTGACAGGATCAGGTAACAGGCATCAGAAGACCCCAAACAAACAAACAAACAAAACATATTGTTGAGAATGAGGGGGGTCGAAGCACAGACCCAACACTCATCTGTATATAATGGGATATCCCCTCACACAGGGTCACAAGGAGGGGATGAATCAACTAGGGTGAAGTATAGCCCTGATGAAACACACAATATTCCTTTGGTTCCTTGAAGCATCCTCTTCCTCTACTATCATGACCCCAGTCCTGCCTTTCAATGTGGGCAAGGCCAGAGCATGTATACAGGTACAGATAAGAGCTCAGGACACATGGAATCGAGGTCAGATAACCCCCTCAGGAACAGAAATGGGAGCGACCAGGAGGGTAGAGGGAAGGTAGAGAGAGGAGGAGGGAAGAAACACAGGGGAAGGGAGACAGTGGTTGGTGTAAGATGTGAAAATAATAATAATTTATAATTTATCAAGGGATTACAAGGGTGGTGGGTAAAAAGAGGAGCTGATAGCAAGGGCTCAAATAGAAAGTAAATGTTTAAAAACGAATGATGCCAACATATTTACAAATATGCTTGATATAATTGATATTTAGATTGTTATAAGAACTGTAAGAGCCCCCAGTAAAATAGTCTTAAAAACAAACAAACAAACAAACAAACAAAAAACTTGGGCAAGTTCCTGTGCTACTACTTTTGAACAGCGAGATCTCTGGTCTGGTTGATAAAGCCAGGCCATGAAGGTGGATGACTAGCACAGCCCGTGAAATAAATGGAAAAGGAAGCTACAAACTCACTGTTCAGAGTTTCTACATTCCTCATTAGGCAAACAGATCCAGCACAATTTAGATAGGTACTTCGTTAAAAATTGTTGTAATTAATGATAAAACAACATACTTTCTCCAAACAATGTGAATACTGTACATATTTGTCTTATCTTCAATCATATATTCAAAATGTACTCGAGATGAAAAACTTAAGCACAATGTAACAAAACTAAGTATGAATATAAATGAATTACACCTACACCTCACTTATTGACTATCTCATTATCTAACATTTCACACTTATGACAGTAGTAAGAAGGAATCTACTGACTATCTTGCACATTAACGACATACATCTGGCAATCGCGAGCACCAAGGTGCTAGCTGATAACACTGGCTGAGATGGTTATACATTTACATGTCAACTTGGTTGGGCCATAATTCTCCGTGGTTCAGAAGTGATGACATAATTTGGTAGTTATGTAATGATTACCTTTATCATTTCTTCCTCTCCTGCTGTTTTACTTTTTGCTTCTATATCACCTGCTTCATTGCATCTAATAAAGCAGCTATTTGAGGCTAACAGAGCCATTTTCCCCTAAATAAAACAAAATATGAGTTATGTGAATTAACAGCAAAGGAATTCTTAATACTCTGGACTAAACTAGTCCCATTCTGGATTGTCAGTCATGAAAAAGTAGCAGAAAACCAATAAAATATAAAAAAAATGTCATCTCAAAATTCACTGCCATTGAGCTGATTCCAACTCACAACAACCCTACAGGACAGACAGAAAAGCCCCCACGGGTTTCCGGGACTGTGACTCGCAAGTGGTTTCAAACTGCTGATACTGGGGTTAGCAATCCCACAAGCAACGCACTGTGCCACCAGGGCTCCCCCCAAAATGTATAGAAAACCAAAATCACTTAGAATATTACTATGTAAAAATATAGTCTTTTAGTAAAACAGAATTCTAATTACATGGTTATATGGAATAGAATTGTTCCCTTTGGTCTAAAAGATATTGTCTTTTTAATTTATCTAGGGCTGCTATCACAGGGATTCCTTAAGTGTATTTCTCACAATTTAACAGGGTAGAAGTCTGAATTCTGGGCGCTAGCTCTAGAGGGTTTCTCTCTTTGTCAGCCCTGGAAGGAGGTCCTTACCCTTTTCAGTTTCTCTTCTGGGGAGTCTATATGTATCTCTCTTCTTCTTTCTCAGCTAGCCTGCTGGCTTGTTTGTATTCTTCTGTATCTCAAAGAAATGGACTCATACATCCTACACTAATCTGGCCTACTTACATACTAGAGAACACAGTCTCGAATGGCAGTATAATCACAGGTAAAGATGTTAAGATTCACAATATATGTTGGGGGGGGCACACTTCATTCATAACAGATATACCGAGGACAAACTGATTTGATCAGTTTAAAAGTTAGGCTGAAAACATAAATCATGAATAATATACAGTAATTTAGCATGCATAGTAATAGTAAGCTAGCCTTCGGTGTTCATAAATTTCTTGTTCAGAATTTCAAGAATCACAGTCCAAGGGGCTTGTGTGTGTGGAAAGATGAACTCCTGCTTCTGACTGGTGTTGACTTTACTTGAATGGAATTTTCATCTTAAAAAAATGTTTTTCGGAATTTTCATCTCAATTGATGCACAGTGATGTACACTTCACTTCTAAAGCTAGTGGTTAACTTGTGTAGCAAACTTCTGCAGTTTGACACTAAGATAATGAACTTCTGTGCATGTTTTTCTATGCTTTTTTAGTTTCATTTCATTTTCATGAAATATTTAGTTTATAAAATTTGAGATGGTTTATAAATACTGTAAGTATTATAATGTAATGAATACAGATTATTTGAAAGCTGTTTAATATTATACCATTCCTAATAATGCTATTTGAGTGTTTTTAATAAAATTTATATTTATTTATTTATTTAATGCAAAAGAAAGAAGCCCTCCTACTCTTCTCAGTGGTTGAATGCTCAGTATATTCCACTCATTCCTAGTACATAACACTTTAAAAGCCACATCACAAATTTCATTTAAATTCTCTTAACAGACTTGTATTGGCTGACTCTTTTTTTTTTTTTTT